ACAAGCCCCTTACCTTTTTGCTGCGCCACAACAAAACGCATGATAACCTTGCCAGGTGGGCCGTAAAACTTCAGAGCTACAATATCAAGATCGAGTACCTGAAAGGAGCATCGAATGTGGTAGCCAACTTTCTTAGCCGAACCGAATCGGAGAAACACCGGTTTCAGGATGAGACTCTCGAATCAGAAGACATTGTGGAATTTCCGGTTTGTTTGGCTCAAACTCCCAACCTCCCGCCACTTCGCATTCGCCCTTATGATGTTTTGATTGAGCAAAAACAAGATCCTTTTTGCAGTACCTTATTGCACTTTTTAGAGACTGGTTCCTTCTCCACTGCGACATCAGAAGACGATAAGATGAAGGCTCTCCAACTGGCTGATTCGTGTATTATTCGTAAGAATGGCTGCCTTTATAAAGTGTGTCAACGAGGAGGTCACAAGTACGAAGCTTTTCTTCCTTCTAAGCTTCGCGAGCCTGTTTGTATAGCTTTTCATAATAGTCCAGCCGCAGGCGGACACTTTAATTGGAAAAAGACCTTAGGCAAAATTGCTCGCAAGTTTTTTTGGCCTTCTATCAAGGAAGATGTTTACCAGTTTGTTCGGTCTTGTGATGACTGTCAAAGGAAGCGGAGCCACCCGGCCAACCGCGAACAGTTGTTGCCTATTCATGCGAACGCCGTTTCCATAAAGTGTACCTCGATCTCAGTGGGCCTTACCACACTTCTTCTTCCTCTAACAAATACATTATGTGCCTCATCGATCATTTTTCTAAATATGTTATTGCTTCTCCTCTTCCTGATTGCACTGCTCCTACGGTAGCGCGGTCTCTCATGAACGATTGCATACTCAAGTTTGGTGCGATGACCGAGCTTGGTATCTGACAACGCGTCGTACCTCAAAGGGGACCTCCTAACTGAATTGGGCAAGCTGCTTCGCATCAATCGTTATTTTTGCACCCCATATCACCACGAAGGCAACGGGGTTTGCGAAAGGGTCTTCGCCACTTTCCAAGCGATGCTGCGCACCTACATTAGCGACAACCAGCTCGATTGGGACACCTTTTTGCCAGCGTGTGCCTTTTCGTACAACACCAGCATCCACTCCAGCACAAACGAAACGCCGTTCTTTCTTTTGTTCGGCCGCGACCCAATCTTTAATATTGACCTCATGTTTCGCCATCAAGCTTTTCAGCACATTCCTACCGACGCTGATTCTAGCATCTATAAGGAATCCCTCGTATCTGCGTTGCACTCAGCTTGGACCTCCGCGGCAGCCTTTAACGCCAAGCAAAGCTTGCTGTTCAAGAAGCAATACGACAAAACAGGGTTAAAACCGCTAAAAATCTCGGTAGGGGATCGCGTCTACCTCAGGGACTTCGCGCCGAAAATTGGCCTTTCTCCTAAACTTTGTTACCCCTGGTTGGGCCAGTTCCGCGTTATTTCGGTGGACCACCCTCACCTCATTATCACCAGCGTTACCTCGCCGCAGGCACCCCCCAAAAAGGTTCATATGAATCAGGTTAAAAAGTGTTTTGCCATATCGGGCCCTGTGTTTACGTCCCCGTGGATTCCCATCGAGGAAGAAGCTGCACTTTCCCGACACGAAGCCGTCACAACCCATGTCACTGGGTATGACCACGAGGTTCCCCCTCCGTCCGCGGCGTCGCCACCGCCTACAGTTTCTCACCAGTACAATACCCGGTTCCGAAAGCGAACTACTTCTATCTAGCCTTTTGTTTTTTTTACTCCACGTTTCCGGCATTTCCGATTCGGACGCTTCTGAACTGCTTATTTCCTTTTTCCATTTTCCTTTATTTGGCTATCAATTCTTACCGTAACAGGCATTACATGCTTCACCCTGTCGGTATTTTTTTTACGGTGATGACCGCATTTCATCTAGCGTGATCGCTATCAACGTGAACATATCGTTTCTCATTTGAGCCATAGCGCCACCCATTTTTCACCAGCTACTCTTTCAGATAATTGGGTAATCTGATGGACTCTTTTGTTGCTATTGATCAGCTTTCTGCGCTCGCGCCTCCTGATCCTGCCCAGGGAAATGACCATAATATGGTTTTGAACCAAGCAGAATCCCCTCCAGCAGCCGAGGAGGCCGCAGTGTCCTCCTTCCTTTCGGACACGATCACTTCCGTAGACGAAGATGAACCTATGGAATCCGACGTAGTTGTCCCAGCAGAAACTATGGCGGATCTCTTGATCTCTGCAGACCCTGTCCCACCTCCGGTCTTGCCGACGTCTATGGAAACGACTGATGAGGCGTCTCATCCGCAGTATGTTGAGCCGAAGTCTGAGCTCCCGCTCGACTCGACTCTTCATCTGTCTGACGCTTCCGGAGCTGATGCTCCTTCACGTGAATATATTGGAGCTGTTGCTCAACATGACCCTCCCGGAGCTGACGCTCCCCCTAATGACGATGTCCAGCCGTCAACTTCCAGGTTCAAATCGGGAGGTTTCGAGAGCTTTCGAGAGCATTTTATATACAGCATTAGCGCTAGAGTTGCCGCACAGCTCGATCGGACATCAGCACGCACGCGCGACCTCAAGCAATCGGCGAGCGGGGAACACTCTCACCCCCACCAGCACGACTCCTGAGGCGTATTACAGTGTCACAACTATAAGGCGGCACACGGACGTTAAAACAGCCTGAATGGCCTCCGCGCCTCCCTCCCAAGCGGCCAACCTGACCAGAACTTCATGCCGGCAAGGACCATCTCCCCCACCAGCCACATTCTTTTATATTTATATTTTCTGAGCTTTGGAAGTCATCCTGGCACAATTTTCGTTTCCCTCCGAACCGAGCCGTTCCCATCAAATCCGGATTTCGTGACGGCCGCTATGCCACTCGAGCTATATGGGCACATCCCTCCAGGTGGATATCTATCCCCTAAGTACGTCAGGAGACTATTCCCCTTGAAGTTCCGGGAGCAGCCAAGCCGTCGTCAACGATTGTCCGTTGTCGAACTGATGCGTCTCGAACACGCGATCGCGTTCCGTCGCTCTTCACAAAGCGTCATCGATGATCCTTCTAGAGGGCCGGTATGTCATCACCGAGAATTCGTTGCCGGTTACCCCCGAGGGAACAATGCCATCAGTCGTATACCCGGAGACACGAGACCTTTTCCCCGTCCTGTACCAGGTCGTCAATAAAGGAGTCGGTCAAGGTGTCGTTCTGGAGGCGAAGGATTTCTTCATCCCCGGACCGGACAGACGCGAGCTCCACCTGATCACCTTGGACCAGTTCGCCACCAACGTTTCGACCAACACCCGTGGCTTTCGATCGGTCGCTCGTATCCGTGAAGGACTTGGTCTGGGTCTATTCGGTCGAGCCCACCCGGGCGGCTCTTCGTGATCCTCCTCGTGCCCTCGAGCAGGCTCGCATACCCAAGGCTACCGCTCTCGACCAGCGGTACCCGTATTTTTTCCGGTACGGGAATTCGTCTTCGTCACTCCACCAACGACGACTCAGCGAACTTTCGGCATCGTTATGTCTCTTCTCATCCGCTTATGAAGCTGTTAAGGGGTTGCGGATTGCCTTTGAAGGCGCACCCGAGGCCGTCCCCGTCTCTCCAACGGTCTGCGACTTCCCCCTCGGCCAAGTTGAGCAAGACGAAATTGTCGCGGCCCACACCCGCTTCAACGTGTCTTGTGCGATACGCTTCTCTGAGTCACCGGTTTCTCGTGATGCTCAACGGATGCTCTGCTCGTTTGTTCGCGACTTTCTTCCAGCTCATCCAGAGGAGGGTATGCTCCCGCTCCGCGTCTTTAAGCTCACCTCGAAAGAAAAGATCTGGATAGCGGATCGAGCCGGCAGTTTCACCAGCTACGATGGTAATCCGAGGGCCTCTCAGCGTCGCATGGCGCACCTTTTCAACGCCGCCTGTTCAGCTCTGGCTGCCGTCAACTGCCTGAATGATGACAAACGGACTCACATGCTCTCGGCGATCGTCCCCAGTATGTCCGCTTTTCCCTTGCGGTTTGACTTCACCATCGGAGACATGTCGTCCGAGTGCGGATGGACGACTCAACGTCCAGTTTATCTGTGGGTTGTCGGCTCTCGCTCGCTCATTCGGGCTCTCATCGAGCAAGCGGAGCACTCTTATGAGGATCGTTCCATCGCGGTCCGTCTCGTCGTTCCTGGTTGGGCTCATCGTTCGGCTTACAACACCGTCTCGAATTTTGCCACTACTCGTGATGAGATCACCAAAGTCGACGTCTGCGTCAAGCTTGGCGACCTTCCCGCAGGAACGGACCCCCTCTACGAGCTCATCTCGAAACGTCAACTCTTTGGTCGTTTCGATAGCGATTCGCGTGCCGCGGTAATCCTGGACGCCGTTTACGGCTCCCGCCGCGTGCGCGTCGGGCCTGTTGGCCCTCATCTCGAGAATGTTTCTGCCTCAGTAGGCGGTCGGACCTTTCAACTACGTCCGGACCAAGTCACGGCTCCTGCGAATGGGTGAGCATATGCTGCCGATCCTTGCTATTCAGGCCGCTTACGGTACTGGGAAAACCGTAGTCGGGGCACTCATTGCAGCCCGTACGCACGCTTCTCTCCACCAAGGTGTAATCGCCACTACCACGACCAACAACGCTGTGGCCCAGTTTACTGATACCTTGTTACGGCTTGACGACTACAGAAATCTACCCGTCTTGCGGTACGTCTCCGACACGGCATTGATTGACGGTGCCCCCCAAACTCCGATCGATCTCCACACCGTTCTCAAGCGTCTTGCGGTCGACTATGCGACGGTCCTGTCGGACAAGGCTCTGGAGACCTGCGTTAGGTACAAGCGAGGCCGGGAACTTCTCGAGCGTCTCATGTTCGATCGGGATCTGGCCATCGACATGTCGGACGCCGAACGTGACGAATACCGGCTGGCGGAGCGTGACATCTCCCAACTGACGCATGATACGGTCGACATTATGTTCCGCGTTCGTCCACCAGCGGTCCTTTGCATTACAACGTCGGCGCTTCTTAACTCGGTTGCGGCGGACGGCATCTTTCATGGTAAGCTGGGCAACTTCACCACGATAATTGGCGACGAGGCGTCTCAAATTCCTGAACCAGCCTTGGTCGCCCTGGCCACCCACCTGCCGCAGGCTCGCCACATCTACATCGGCGACGTTCACCAGCTGGAACCGCATGCTAGATGCCCTCGTTCCTCTAACCCTGCCCGTTTTGGTGCGCAAGGCATCATGGATATCTTGGTCGCTAAAGGTGTTCCGGTAGCTCCTCTCACTACCACATTCCGGGCTCACCCACTGCTGAATGATCTGCCTAACCGGCTCTTCTACGACCACGCTCTCATCAGTGGTACCCGTGCCGACGATCGCCAGATGTTCCTCTCGATCGTACGCTGTCCGAACCCGAAGCTACCGTTCCTGTTTGTCGACGTGCCCGGCACATCCGCGAAATCGTTGAGCGGCTCCCACAGCAACACCGAAGCTGAAGTCTGTCGTCAAATCGTGTTGGCATTACTACGGAATGGCATCTCCCCGTCCTCCCTTGCCATCATCGCTTTCTATAAGGAACAGCTCCGCGTGCTAGCGCAATTCGCCAAGAACCACGAGGTCGATTTACACACGGTCGACTCCGTGCAGGGTCGTGAAAAGGACATCATCATCCTCCTCACCACGCGTACCGGATTCGATGCTGATCGAGGAGAATTCCTCAACGAACCTCATCGGCTCAACGTCGCCCTCACCAGGTGTAAGCACGGCCAATTTGTTCTAGGTCACGAGCAGTCTTTGATGGGCCTCTCTTACTGGAATGACATCCTCCTATGGGCCCGCAATCGTTCTGCCGTTGTGTCTGCCGCTGAATTACCGGATCTCATCGACTGACGACCCCTTTTTTCTCTCCTTTGAAGCCCAAGGTGAGCATTTCTCTTTTCATTTGTCCTCATTCAAGTCCGAGGACGGACTTTTTCGTAATGGGGGGAGGTGTAGGAGAGCGAAAGAGTGCGAGAAACTTCAAAGATACACTAGTTATTAGACAAATTACTAATTAAGGTGGTAATAGACCAACTAGTAAACTCCCCTAGCCATTTATTCCTTTGTCCCCCTTTTCAGGCGGTTTCCCCTTACAAGTAGCCGTCTGGCACGAGAGAGTATGTCGGGATGAGAGGCAGATAGTGCGAGAGCATACTGTAGTGACTCATCTGATGCTTCGTACTTAAGGCTTCCGATCGTCGACCTCGAGAGAGATCTCCGCTGCAACGTGTGGACTCCGGCCTACGCCTCCGTCACCCCTTCGCCTTCTTCGGCCGTCACCTCTGGGCCCCGCGCCTCCGCTGAAGATACTCGACTGGACTGATCTCGAAGTCAGCATTATTAATAAATCTGACTATATTCGCGGCTAAACTATCAGAAGCATTCGGTCCAAGCGAGGCGGATAACTCGCTTATATTACTATAGGGCGTAAAGGCTGGTCGTTTGAGTGAGGAAGCCAGCGTAAAAGATGAAACGACACGACTCCAAGATAGGGTTGTTTGATGCGAAAACCATTTACAATGATAAGCGAGCGCTGGCGACAGCGATCCACAAAGTTATTAAATAAGCATAGTTTGGAGCCGGTGCCGGTTTCAAAAGGCGCGGCTGTTGCGGATTGGGAGCAGTGTCAAGCGTGCGTTGAGGAATCCTCGACAGGTCGACAGGGGGGTCGTATGTGGCCCGCTGGGAGGAAGGGATCGGGCCGGATCGATGCAGTAGGATCATCACTGTTGAGGGACAAACATCAAGGATGTGATCGATGCTGTGCAAGCTTGGCCGAAGGGTGTTATCTTCATTTGCTATCCCTCATATGAAATTTTCTCCCTTCGAAGGGGTCCGCATAGTAATTCTTAGCTACCTCAATAATTTATAATTTATTCATTATATTAATTTATTATTATTTGATCGAAAGTGGCAGGTTTCCTTTGAACGTTGGGTCCCGCCACTATTGAGTCGCTGGTACATAGTTCGACTCGCTGGTGCATCGTTCGATTCGCTGGTGCAAAGTTCGATTCGCTGGTGCAACGTTCGATTCGCTGGCGCAACGCTCGGATCCAGTTTGTCATAGACCCAGTTTGTCAGGCTGATGTCATAGTTTGCGAATAGAGCCATTCGCTAGCGAATCGCTTGATTCGCCAACTATGACATCAGCATAAGACATGGTAGGCCTTCTAAAGACAGTTAATAATGATGAAGAGATACTGTCATAGTATGCCATTTTTCACGATTACTTTGTCGTTTTTGACCGTTTGTTGGTAGGATGATTTTTTCTTGATTCTTTTCTACTTGGTGGAAGACTTTTATGGTGTAGGAAGGGGTAGCCGGGTTTTTTGGAAGGTTTTCTGGAAGGCTTAAACAACTTTTCATACTTCGCCTTGTGAGGGAGTCGCTTCAAGGACTTTGGCCGCTGGGAGGGTGGGGCTGGACGTATTAAAAAATTTTCCTCGACGCCTCGCTTGACCTGAATTGGACCCTAAGTGAGATGTAATTGACGGCTTTCACAGTGAAAAGACCACACCTCGCTTCCTTCGATACATGGGCTAGCGCTTCCTCCTTTTCTTCATGCGTATACTCCTTTGTGCAGAACTACCTTAACGTACTCACTGTTTTTAAGGTGTATAAGCCATAGCCAGTTATGTTAGCTAATTCCGAATACGTTCCTAGGTCGGTTAGCTTTCAGATCAAAGAAAACCCACGACAGAACAGCAGATCCACAGACCCGAAGCACGCGAACTCCGCTCTGATGCGTTGTCGTCAGCAGCCTAATTGCGATTTGCGGACTTTGAGCTCTACGGAGCGGAGCTTGCAGCTTATAGCTCTCTGGTTGCAATTAAATCTGCACAAATTTCTAGCACTGTGCCATTAAAGAGTTTTCTGCAAGTGAACATATCACTTGCAAAAAATTCTTGAGTTTTTGATTTTCAGCTCGATCGAAGGCAGCTAAGCAACGAAAGGAAAGCTACAAAGTGCACGTCGACGGACCAAACCTCGGATCGAACCTGCCTCGATAAACATATCCTTGGAATCTAACATTTCGTAAGTTTGCCTATTGTGATAAGCGATGATACTCTGGAAAACGCAGAGGTTCAAGTTCAGTCGCCAAGTACACTGAATCTATAGGTAATAGCTTTAAATGTTGGCACAGCAGTTCCCTGATGACCAAACGTCAAAATTGAGCTAGACAGCAGAACATCGGCCTTGAAAACCTTCATTTCCCAAGAGTCGGAGCTAAACCTAGGATCTCATAAAGCACAAGATGAGGCACGGTGACCATTTGTGTTGTTGTAAATATTAATCATACGGATTTGTTGTTGCTTGACCAAGAAAAAAAAAAAACTATATTTTCCTCGAAATCATCTTCGGTGGCTCTCAAACCGAGAGTTTAGCCAGAAAATTAGTGGAGGAATTCCATATTGAGCATTTCTGAAATGGAATGGAATGGGCATCGAATTCATCATATGCGAGTAGCGCATCCATGGTAACTCGCAAGCCCTTCCTTCTGTGCTGCACTTGGAATCAATTCGCGGTGGTATGTAGTTCCATAATGAAAAACTTAAAGGAATCTTCCACGGAAAAAGCTCCGCCTCCATTACCACAGAAAAACGATACCCCTTAGGCCCCTAGCCTCATGAGCATAGCAAAAAGAACGGAACATAAGCGTTAGTTTCGATAATACTAATCCTACACACAAGACAAAATGATCACTCTTTCCGTGGAAGATTCCTTTAAACCAAAAGATAGGCTTTAACAATATCGCTCTCGTTGCAGATTTCGCTCAAGGTAAAACAATCGCTTTCCCTCGGAAAATTCTAAGGAACCATAGTGAACACTGAAATCAAGGGCCTTTCTTGTGGCATCGACCGTGACGCGACGGAGAGAAACATCGCGGCGAGGAGAGGAAACACCCGAGAGAGCACATTGTTCGAATAAAAACGCAAGCACCTCGTTCACTGCGAACGAGTAAAAACGATAGTACATACTTGTAGTGGTTGAGGCAGCGCCCTTGTCGCGCACTTTCGAGTCGAGGCAGTGCCACAGGTTTTGTGCTTAGAAGCCACAACAACTTACTCACGCGAATCGCTCCAAGGAATTTAAACGCGAGTTGGAGTGCTCAAGGACATTGGCAATTAGAGCCCAGACTGCACTTGAGTCTACACTCTACAGCTTTTCATTTGAGTTAGTTTCAGTAAAGCAGTAGACTTTGCAATAGGTAAGGAAAATCTCTGAGGGCTTCTTCAGAAATGGTTTAGCACAACAGATCGTATCTTTACGGGCATTATATTGGCTGAGCTATCGGAGAGTGCCAAAATCCACTGTTTCCTGATTATGGTACCCCCCCCCCCAGGAGGCCCGTCGCGCGGCAAGAAGGCAGAGTCGGCGGACGAGTTGCAGCGCGTGGTGTGCGATGTAGGACGTGCAGTGGGACACTCTATTTAACTTGACGCGAAATCCCTATAGTACGCGCGCGACTCGTCCGCTGACTTTGCCTTCTCGCGCGACGGACCTCCTGGGGGGTACCCCGGTTACAGATTTTAAGAAAGAATTATTGACTGTTGTCAAAGAAGGTAGGCTTTAACAACGAGGCTATTAGTACACAAGGATTTTGTCAGGCTAAAACTTGGCGACATGAATACCTATGTTCTTCACGTGAAGAAAGACGAGAAGTGAAGAAGGGAGAGGGTAGAAGGAACGATCTGTGGTGGGCAATCTCTGGCCCTTTTGAAGGCGGAGAGCTCAGCTGACAAATGTTATACAGTGCCAAAAAGTGTTTTAGTGGAATACATAGATGCGGTACCCCACCGCGGACGTGTGCGTGGGTTCCTTCCAGGAAGACCATTTTCCATGTCAAGCAGCCTCACTGTCTGAAACCTAAACTAGCTTCTGCTACTTACTTGCGCATAGTTATCTGGTTCTTCTGCCAAAGCGAGTAAACATATTGTTAATAATTAATATATTTCTATTAATGATGAAAGAACTAACTAAGAGCATTTTATCAGGCGCGCAGGACCTTCTAATGACTAGAACCAACATGAGTGCCAACCATCCACCAACGAACAAAACTTTTTCCCCCCCCAGCAAGTTTCTGGCCTCTGACTTCATGCCCAGCGAGCAAGGCATCTAAAGCCACTCCCTTCTGATTCAGATTAGCGGTGGACGACATAAAGACCGGTCGTCTGTCCCGGGAGGAGGGGGGGGGGGAAGTTTGTGTGATTACGAAACACTCTATCTGAGAACATTTAGGTCTCTATAGACTTCTCCTGACGTTTGAAATGGTGTCTGGGGATGAATCGCACTTATCTTCGGCTTCGCAGGCTCTGACGAAGGCGACAAGGCCGAAACGTTAGCTGAATAAAGGGTATTACCATCTTCGTTGCGGTTTCAAACACAGCTGACTGTAGCTAAGTCCAACCTTCCAAGATTCACTGAAATCCGCACCTGGATACTGCTCATAGCATGGCTACAAAGAGCAAGTTGTTGCAACGTCACCAAATCGCCAGCAACCATAGTCAGCCCGTCCGAATTTGAAATCGACAGGGAGGAAAAGGGTGCCATTTCTTGGGCACTAACCATTTTACACTTTTTCTACAACAACAATTTGGTACCTCTGCTTTTTTATTTCGATAGAATTAGCGTATCGCGAGTTTTGTGTTTACACTTTAGCTAAATAACCACCCGGAACTTCACCGTTCTACGAGAAAACCGTAGGGTTCCGAAAGACCATGACCGTCTTGACAAAGTGGAACCACCTCACACAAACTTTCCAATCCGTTCAACGTCGATTCGTGATGTTCATGCCTTTGTACTAAAATGTGGAACCACGGAAGTAAAAATCAACAGCCACAACCACGGATTGGCAGGAACACGGGCGTACTGCTCACAGGGAGGTCGTTCAGGGTGTGCCAAGCTTTTTCAAAATGGTTTCTTGCATGACATTGGGGCACATATGGGGACCACAGAAGCATGGTTCATTTTTTTCCTGAACGGCTCTCTGAATACCAGAAAAGGGGTCCCTAGTTCGATTCCTCGTGGTGACAAGTTTTTGCATTTCGTGTTGACGTTTCCAAATTCGCGCAAAATGGAGTTAGCATGAATAATTAGTACCAAATTCATGATTAGGAACGTCAGTAACCCTTACAAATAGACTTTGATTGAAAAACTGGTGAAAAAGGTGTGACTAGGGACCCCCTTTTCTGGTATTCAGAGGGCCGTTCAGGAAAAATTAACCATGGTTCTGTGGTTCCCGCATGTGCCTCTATCATGCAAAAGACCGTTTTGAAAAAGCTTGGCACACCCTGAAAGACCTTCCTTGTCAGCATCAGAGCGCAGGACT